AGCTTAGAGAAGGAATGACAGGCTGGGTCAGCGCAGCCTCCTCACAGTGGGTTCGACTGCAGGAGGGTCCTTCGTAGCAACCACTTCTCATCCTTCATCTTGGCTTCAAGTGCAATTCCATGGAGAAGAGAGAACAGAACCGGCCTCAGCAACAAGGGAAGGAGATGCAGGGTCAAGCAGCCGTGTGGATCCATCACACTCAACCTTCACACCAAGCGGAGCACAGCAGGACCAGCCCAGGGGGGCCGAAGTGGAGGCTCTCTGGGTGGGGGGCCCTCTGGACGTGGGCAAGATTCTCTACATAAAACTCCAAATAGAAGATCTACACAGCCAGTAGTTAAAGAAAACACACGACTAAGAAAAAAAGGCCAAATAAAATAGGACACCAAGTTTGGCCACCGGGTCTCACAAGCAGTAGGTAAGAAATCCCAGGGGCCCACCAGAGGAGCCTGGGGGTGGGTTCCTGGCGCGCAGGGGGCTGGGGACACCCCATTCCCACAGACGGAGGACCCAAGCTTTGGGGAGGAAGCTGTTAGAGTCATGCCAGTGAGCTGTTTCAGAGCTGGAGCCATAGGTCAGGGGAGGAGCCCTGGCCACGTCCCTGTGTAGGCTCAGAAGCTGGGGTGGGGGCACACCCCCAGGGGCCGATACAAACAGTGGACCGCGAGTCCTCCTCCTGTCCAGAGGATGCTCAGCTCCCAAGGGACCACCAAAGTCTGGAACCCAGGGACACACCACCTGACCCTCATGCCCAGGCCTCCTGGACCAGGCAATGTCCAGTACAGGCAGGCAGTCTGGGCTTGGGGCCAGGACAGGGGTGGATGGTCCTGCTAGGCAGGCCTCCTTCTCCCTACCAGCTGTGCTGGTTGCACTGTAGTTTTGTTCTGGCAACATATTGCTGCCCACTTTGGCCACACCAGTCCCCGGCTCCCTGGCTAGGCCCAGTGCTGTCCAACCCACCTACACAGGCCCCACACACCCAGTGCCCACCAGACTCCCGTCAGCCAGGAGGACCCATGCTCACCCCCTGAAGTATCCGTGGGAACCTGCATCCGACAGGGACCCACAGCTCAGGGCCAACCTCCATGGGGCCTTTTGGTTGTGGTGGTAGGGGCAGGGGGGAGTTGACCTCCAGCCCTCCCATCCTGGCCACTGTGTTCTGTGGGGATCATTCAGTCCTGGGAGCTTCCTAGGGACCCCAGAAGGAGAGAACAGAGGGTGGTCATGGCGGCCTCAGCCCCAGGCTCTGGGCCGAGTGCAAGAGTCTTTCGGTTCTGGTTTGACCTGGCCGGTAACAACAGGCCAAGTCATTCACACAAGGATTGGCTTTGATACAATGCATCAAGGGACTGTGAGGACACAGATCAGCCTCCAGGCCAGTTACACCTGGTGGCTTCGCCAGTGCAGGCTAGGGAGTGGAAAAGCTGACCCCTGACCTCCCCACCTACCCTGCCCACAGACGCCGTAGCGGCCAGGATCCCTGGACTTCAGGCAGAGGCAGGCAGCACAGTTGCTGCCTCCTTTGAGCCCATCCCAGGGCCCACAGGGCCTGGAGAAACCTGGCAGGGGCTGAGTTGGGAGAATCCGGCATGGCGATGCCAAGTGAAAAATGTGAGGGACTGGGTATGAGGGGCGCTAGGCACAAGGCTGCTTCCTCTGGGGAGGTGGCAGTGAGACATATAGTAAGCCAGCCTCCGCAGGCCCCACCCTGCTGCCAGGCACATGTGGTGCCCATACCCACCCACGGCTGCAGAAGTTCTTCACAACAAAAGGGGAGGATGTACCCACACCCACATAGCATTGGTGCCCACAACATCAGAGAAGAAAATGCTGCTGTGCCCAAGGTGTGGGGAAAGGGGCCATGTCCCCTTCCTCCCCATGGTGGGTCCAAAATTACCTGTTCCTGCCAGCACCCCACCCCCAACTCCACAAGCTGCTGACCTCCACCCCAGTGCCATGCCACGCGCCAAGAACAGCTCAGCAGTACATCCCAAAGGGTGCTATCCTGGCGTGGCTGTGCTGGCAAGTGATATGTTCCTAGTCACAGAGGTTTCTTTCTTTACCGCTCACTGGCCCTGTGCCTCGGTTTCCCCACTGTGCAGAGTGTAAAAATCCCATCTTGAAGGGCAGAACCCAGGAAGATCACCACACCGGTGAAATGGTGGGTGAAACTCCCTGCCTTGGACCTCTTGCTCCAGGACTGATGTCCAGTGGGGACTGGCCAGGCCAGCATTCTGGGGGGCTGCATTCCTTGCCTGGGGAACCTTACTCCCAGTAGGAATCACTGGAGTTGAGGCCCCTAATGAATTGGGGGAGGCACAGGGGTAGAATGGAGGTAGCCCCATCTACGGGCCGGTGTAGACCCAGGAAAACAAGCATTGAGTTCAGACCTTGTCTGAAGCTGGCCACCTGGAAAGGATTTGGGGTGTGATGAGGGCCTGGGGTCAGGGAACAAAGTGTTCTGGTTTGGACACGTAGGAGGTTCTCTGCAGCTCTCTCAGGTACAGGGTATGTTGCATAAGTATATGCTTTTAAAACCCTAGGAGGAGGGGCACGCAGAAGGGGCCCTGAAGCCAAGGCAAGTCCAGGCTTTCCACCTCCCCAGCTGAAGACATGCTGGAGGACAATTCTCCAGAGTTTCATACAAAGAAGAGAAAAAAGAAACCAAAAGACCTGGAGGATAGGCAAGCTAATGAGGGCTGACTGGATTACCCTGCCTAATCCTCAAAACAAGCTTCCTTATCTGTCCTCTCGGCCAGGTGAGGAAACAGGTCACAGTAGTACATTCAGACCCTGGGCAGGCAGCTGCAGCCTGAACCCAGGGAGGTACAAACAGACTGTCCCAACCCCAGCCCTCAGCCAGAGGCGGGCTCTGCCCCAGCTCATTCACATGGTAAATCAGGCCCACTGGCTGCCTGCCCTTCCCCAATCCCCCTCGCTCACCAGGCAACAGCGCCCTGCTCGTGGCTGCCAGACTGCGGATGGCAGTGCACGCCCCTTCATTCGGCTTCTCAGCTGCCCACCAGGCCATCCCTCTCTGCCAGGCCACCTGGAGCCTAGCAGTGTGCATGCGGATGGGCAGCACCTGGAATACTTGGGCGGGCTTGGCTGGGGGCTGCAGTTCCTATGCAGGGAGGAGTTAGCGCCCCATCCCATTCCCTGGCCCCATGGCCCTCTGAGAAGACCCTCCACATACTGCCAGGCCTTGACCACCAGTAGCCCCACATCCAGGGAGGCATCGACCTGCTCACCTCTGATTGGCAGTGGACATGCAACCCTGGGCAGACCCCTTAGAATCCCAGGTATGAGAGAGCTAGGTGAGGGCAAGGGTGGCATCAGAGTGAAGGGGCCTGCCCCTCCACACCTGTGGGTATTCTCGAAAGGTGGAGATGAGAGACTGAGAAAAGAAATAAGACACAGAGACAAAGTATAGAGGAAGAAAAGTGGCCCAGGGACCTGCGCTCAGCATATGGAGGACCCGCGCTCAGCATACAGAGGACCCGCACCGGCACTGGTCTCTGGAGTTCCCTCACTATTTATTGATCACTATCCTACTATCTTGGCAAGGGGGATGTGACAGGACTACAGGGTAGTGGTGGGGAGAGGGCCAGCAGGAAAACATGTGAGCAAAGGACTCTGTGTCATCAATAAGTTTCAGGAAAGGTGCTGTGCCTCTATGTGCACGTCGGCCAGATTTATGTTTGACTTTACACAAACATCTCCGTGCAGTAAAGAGCAGTATTGCCGCCAGCATGTCTCGCCTCCAGCCATAAAGTGGTTTTCTCCTATCTCAGTAAATAGAATGTATGGTCAGGTTTTACCCGAGACATTCCGATTCCCAGGGATGAGCAGGAGACAGATGCCTTCCTCTTATATCAACTGCAAAAAGCCTTCCTCTTCCACTATCCTCCTCAGCACAGACTTTTACGGGGGCCGGGCTGGGGGATGGTCAGGTCTTTCACTTCCCACAGGCCATATCTCAGGCTGCCTCAGTGGGGAAACCTTGGACAATACCCAGGCTTTCTTGGGCAGAGGTCCCTGAGGCTTCCGCAGTGCACTGTGTCCCTGGTACTCGAGACTGGAGAACGGTGATACTTTTACCAAGCATACTGCCTGCAAACACATTTTCACTAAGACACATCCTGCACAGCCCTAAATCCATTAAACCTTAGTCAATACAGCACATGCTTCTGTGAGCACAGGGTTGGGTCTAGGTTACAGATTAACAGCATCTCAAGGCAGAAGAATTTTCTTAGTACAGATCAAAATGGACTTCTATGTCCTCGTCTTGTCCATAGACACAGTAACAGTCTGATCTCTCTTTCTTTCTCCCACACAGAGAGTGTCACTACTGTATGTCAGCCACTGGGGGACAGGCTTCAGCTTACACCCACCTTCCAAATTCCACCCTCTCACCTTGGCAGAAGCTGGCCAGGAATTGGGGCCAATGGGATGGGTGGGGTCTGCAGACGACACCGTGTTCAGGTCCCCATGATGGCCTCACACATGTGTAGTGCCCTGCAGTTCCAGGTGCCACACACATGCCATCCCCTGCTTGGGCCCTGATCTTCGAGGAGGGGGAGCAGCAGAACCCAGGCACTGACCCCACAGTGCCACTCACACCCACAGACGATTCTCCAGACAGGCAACAGTCTCGGTCCTGGCCACCTTCCCCTGCAGGGCCTCAGCTCTTTCCCGGGACTCACGTGGTCTTTCCTCACATCAGCTCTGCTAGGATGCACTGATCTGTACACAGGGGCTCTGAGGTGACAATGGCCACGATCATGCAGAATGCAAGGGCACAGGCTGGGTGCCCATTGTGGGGACTCTGCAGCACTCCCAGACTATCATCGGGGCATGCTGGCCCCCAGGCTTAGCTAGGGCACCAGTGGTAGGAGTGCACTGCTCTGGACTCTGCAGGAGGAAGACAACTGTCACCACATCTTCATGTTCTCCTGCTGGTGTCACTGTGTGTTTCTCATCTCCTGCTTGTAGGATCAGGCAGACTCTCTGAACACCTTGTGGGAAACAGCAGAATCCAGCAGAGAAGAGGAGAAAAGCCCAGCTGCAAAGATGAAAAAATGGCAGGTGTGACATGGACCCCCCATTCAGATTCTGTATTTAGATGAGGTCTTCCAGAACACCTGCTCTCATTGGATAATACTTCAAATACATATATATATAATATATATATATATATATATATATATATATAATTTTTTTTTTTTTTTTTTTTTTTTTTGCTCTGTAGCCCACACTGGAGTGCAGTGGCAGGATCTCGGCTCACTGCAACCTCCGCTTCCCGGGTCCCGGTTCAAGCAATTCTCCTGCCTCAGCCTCCCGAATAACTGAGATTACAAGCATGCACCACCTTGCCCCAGCTACTATGTTTTCTTTTTTTTTTTTCTTGAGACGGAATCTTGCTCTGTCACCCATGCTGGGAGTGCAAGTGGCACGATCTCAACTCACTGCAGTTTCCAACTCCTGGGTTCATGCTATTCTCCTGCCTCAGCCTCCTGAGTAGCTGGACTACAGGCGCCTACCACCACGCCCGGCTAATTTTTATATTTTTAGTAGAGACGGGTTTCACCGTGTTAGCCAGGATGGTCTCGATCTCCTGACCTCGTGCGACAGAGCGAGGTCACCTGGGCAAAGAGCAAGACTAAGTCTCAAAAAAAAAAAAAAAAAAAGAAAAGGAAAAAGAACAATATAAGCCAAATTCACTCAAAAGAAATAAAAACAAGATGACAAGTCAATGGCACTGAAACAGAAAATCAACAGAAGAACTCAATAGAACAACAGCTGTTTCTTCATAAAGATCAACAAATGGTCACTATCAAGCCAGGCTAACAAAGAAAAAAGAAATCGCACAATTATATAAGGTGAGTACAAAAGTAATGGCAGTTTTGCATTCTTGGAATTTGCTGTTGATACTGGAATACCTTCTTAAATAAATGTGGTTATGTTATTCATCATATTAATGGGCATTTCTTGCTTTTTATTGCTAATGACTTATTACTATTTATTTTAGACTGTGGAAATGATGTCAGACAAAAAGCAAATTCAAGCGACCTCTTATTCGAGTTCAAAATGGTCCTAAAGCAGGGGAGACAACTCACAACATCAACACATTTGGCCCAGGAACTGCAATTAATGTACAGTGCAGTGGTTCAAGAAGTTTGCAAAGAGGCAAGAGCCTTGAAGATGAGGAGGGTAGTGGGCAGCCACCGGAAATTGATAACAACCAATTGAGAGCAACCACTGAATTTGATCCTCTTACAGCCACACGAGAAGTTGGCGAAGAACTGAATGTCGACCATTCTATGGTCATCCGGCATTTGAAGCCAATTGGAAAGTTGAAAAAGCTTGATAAGTGGGTGCCTCATGAGCTGACCAATATTTAAAAAGCCATCCTTTTGAAGTGTCTATCTTCTCTTATTCTATGAAACAACATTGAACCATTTCTTGATCAGATTGTGACATGCCACGAAAAGTGCATTCATACAACAGCCAGCTCAGTGGTGGGACTGAGAAGAAGCTCCAAACCACTTCCCAAAGTCAAACTTGCACCAAAAAAAGGTCATGATCACTGTTTGGTGGTCAGCTGCCGGTCTTCTGATCCCACCACAGTTTTTGAATCCTGGTGAAATCATTACATCTGAGAAGTATGCCACGCCATTCGATGAGATGCACGGAACACTGCAGCACCTGGAGCCGCACTGATCAACAGAAAGGCCCAGTTCTCCACAACGCGTGACCACATGTCATACAACCAGGGCTTCAAAAGTTGAATAAATTGGGCTATGAAGTTTTGCCTCATCTACCATATTCACCTACCTCTTGCCAACAAACTACCACTTCTTTAAGCATCTTGACAACATTTTGCAGGGAAAAACACTTCCACAACCAGCAGGATGCAGAAAACGCTTTCTAAGAGTTCATTGAACCCTGAAAGCATGGAATAAACAAGTTTATTTCTCATCGACAAAAATGTGTTCATTTTAATGGCTTCTATTTTTTTTTAATTTTTTTTAGACAGAGTCTCACTCTGTCGCCCAAGCCAGAGTGCAAAGGTGCAATCTCGGCTCACTGCAACCTCTGCCTCCTGGGTTCAAGAGATTCTCCTGCCTCAGCCTCCCTAGAAGCTGGAAGTACAGGCGCCCGCCACCACACCAGGCTAATTTGTTTGTATTTTTAGTAAAGACGGGGTTCACCATGTTCACCAGGATGGTCTCGATCTCCTGACCTCGTGATCTGCCTGCCTTGGCCTCCCAAGTGCTGGGATTACAGGCGTGGGCCACTGCGCCAGCCAGGTGACTTCATTTTATTAGTTTTATTAGGAATTTAGGTAGAATCAACTTCTGATTAAAGGCTGAATTTCTGTATTTTGTAGAGAAATGAATAAACTGGACACTGTGTGGTCAGTGTTTAGATTTGCCCATGGTTGTTAAATCGATGTCATGGATCCTGAGACACCAAATATAATTAAGATAGGTCTAGAGACAGGAGAAGCAGAAATAGTTGACCCAGGAGTACAGTCTCAAGTAGTTCATTAATGAGAAAATGGACATCTGGCAAGAGTCTTTTTACTTATCCTGGCTGAAAATCCAAATCTTGTTTATTTTTCCCACTAAAAGTAACTAAAATAATAACGAATTTTATTGTTCTTGGGTTCTTTTTTCCTTTAATGATTGTGCTGTAACTTAAAACAATGATGTTACTTTTGAACATTTTAAAGCATATCTGAAACGATTGAATATTTATAACTCTCTTTGGCTTCAAAATAAGATTGTGTTATCACCATTTTGGTAGATGAGGTTGTCTGATGAAAATGATGCGCATGACTTGTACCGTTCAGTGTACATCTGCAGTAGTGGACGATTGGAAACATAAAAAAGTGGAGTATAAATTAAAAATTAATTTGGTTTCTTCTATTTCTTAATTTAGGAATGTTAACCATGGCTGTAAGGGGATTTTCTTGTGTGAAAAGAGAAGATCCTCAGAGTCAAAAATGTCTTACAACTCGGCTTGATGGCCTTTGAATTAGGAATGGATTGTCCTCTCTCTGAAGCCTGTTGTCACATGGGTTTTTAATCCTGGCCTGCTGCTAGAAATCTGTGCTTGAAGTCGTCTCTTTCTGGTGGTAACCTACCACTTAAAGTCATGAGGTGGGTGGAACTCAGTTTACTAAACTCTTTAGCCTTTGAGCTAACTGAGCAACCTCTTAGATGTACACACACCACTTTGTATGAAAGGGTTCTCTAGAATGGTTCTTTGGAGAGAAATATTTTCGTGTAATATTGACAGGGGTGTAAATAAAGCATGGTGACTAATAAGTCTTTCACTCTTCATCTGATGAACATAAGGATCTATGCATCCAGATATTATTTTGTATACAAATATTTAATTTGGTGATTGATAATCTCTCTTTGGGGTAGTCACATGGAAAAGCTCTTTTAAATTTAACTTTTGCCTTTGATCTTTTTTGAGAAAAGCCATTGAAGAGCAAAACTAATGTAAACGTCTTGATCATTTAAAAAGCTTACTTGTCCTCGAAAGGAAAACACGAGTCATCAGTGAGTATAAACGTAGACAGTTGATTTGTGAATGCTGTCGGCCTCAACGTGCTTGATAATAGATCTACTGATCTAGCTGGAGTAACTTGATCACTTACTTCCTTATTAATACTAGATCACACAGTTCTTTCTTATTCCTCTTCTTTACTACTGGCATGAGCACAGAGTCCCACTATCTGAAAGAGAAGGGAGAGTTTGGGGGATTATTGGAGGATTCTTAAAAACTTGGTTGGCAATTGGGCAAGATGGCTCATGCCAACCATGAGGGGCAGGTATCACTGAGCCCCATCTAGTGATATGAAAACCAGGGTTCATAGAGGTTAACTTCCTTGCCATGTCATATGGATGGAAAGTAAAGACATTGAGCTTTGCATTAGACTCGGACCTAGAGTTGTTCAAACCGTAGTTCTGCTTATTCCACGGAAACGTGGGTTTTTTGAGGGGAGTACAAGCAGAGGAAAGTGAGAAGTGGATTGCAGTTTGATTCTTAGCGGTCAAGAATGCCCACCGGGGGATTTAGACTTTAACCTAATCACATGTATTTATTCTTCAAATGCTGCCTTGAACGTTTTGAGCACGTGCTTTGGAACATTCCTCTGGAAAAACAGAGAAGGTGAGGGAGGGAGGAGAGGGTCTGAGATTTGAGGGGTCTGCAGCAGGAGGTGGGAGACACAGTAGGGAGCTGGGACAGCAGTCTGGAAATGAAACTAGGACACGTCCAGACCTCAGGGAATTAACTAGAATCTGGTTAGAGAGCCAGAAAGAACAAAGAGAAAAAATACCTCCCAAGTTCCCACCTGGCTGCCCAGGAGGCTGTCATGCGCCTTAACAAATAAAGCCTGCCCTTTAACAAACAGAGGAGGGAGGAGGTGTCTGCAGGGAGGCTACAGACAAAACGTGGGAACGAGGCTCCCCTTCTGGACAATGAAAGCCGGATGCTGAATCAAAATCCTCATATGCCCAGGACAATTTATTATTATTATTATTTTATTTCAGAGACAGGGTCTTGCTGTGTTGCCCAGGCCGGAGTGCAATGATGCAATCATAGCTCACTGTAACCTCGATCTCCCGGCTCAAGCGATCCTCCTGCCTCAGCCTCCTGAGTAGCTGGGACTACATGTGTGTGCCACTACACCCAGTTATTTTGTTTGTTTGTAGACAGGTCTCATTATGTCGCCCAGGCTGGTTTCAACTCCTGGCTCAAGCGATCCTCCCAACTTGGCCTCCTAATGTGCTGGGATTACAGGTGTGAGCCATCACACCTGGCCATCAGCACGTTTAAATACACATCCTTATATATATTTAAATATATGTCTTATATATATACATATACACCATACAGAACGACCGATGCTGAGTTGATACTAACTAGTCAACTAACAAACAACTAGTAACTAATGACTTGGTAACCAGGTAGGAATTCGGACAAATCTGGTTGTTCAGGGAGAACAAGGGTCTGTCAAACAAGTGTTACATCTTCTAATGCATCCTATTCAGACTCAGGAGCAGTTTATATTTTGCACAGTCTCTGCCTCTCTGATTCCTTCAGACTTGTCAAGCACAGGAGAAAACCTAGTAAAGGCCGGGCGCGGTGGCTCGAGCCTGTAATCCCAGCACTTGGGAGGCCGAGACGGGCGGATCACAAGGTCAGCAGATCGAGACCATCCTGGCTAACACACCTGAAACCCCGTCTCTACTAAAAAATAGAAAAAACTAGCCAGCGAGTGCGGGCGCTGTAGTCCCAGCTACTCGGGAGGCTGAGGCAAGAGAATGGCGTAAACCCGGGAGGCGGAGCTTGCAGTGAGGCGAGATTGCGCCGCTGCACTCCAGCCTGGGGCGACAGAGCGAGACCCGTCTCAAAAAAAAAAAAAAGAAAAACCTAGGTAAAAATAAATAATAAAACACTAGGGAGGCCTCACAATCATGGTGGAAGGTGAAAGACACATCTCACATGGCAGCAAACAAGAGAGAGAATGAGAACCAAGCAAAAGGGGTTTCCCCTGATAAAACCATCAGATCTTGTGAGACTGATTCACTACCATGAGAACAGTTCGGGGAAACCACCCTATGATTCAATTATCTCCCACTGGGTCCCTCTCACAACATGAAGGAATTATGGAGCTAAGATTCAAGGTGAGATTTGGGTGGGACACAGCTAAACCATATCAGACATATTATCTATTGCTACATAACAAACTATGCCCCAAACTTAGGGCTTAAAACCACAGCCATTTTTTTTTCTTCACACTTTCTGAACATCTCAAATGAAAAAAAAAAGTTATAATATCAAATGTTGTTGCAGATGTGGAACAAGATGTGGGAAAACTTGAAACTCTACTATAGGAGATACTGAAAAGCCAGACAGCAAGGACACAGAGAGGGGACAGAGCTGAGCTAAAAGTCCAATCTAAGACAGTACACTACGACCCAGCAATTCCACTGCCAGTGTAGACCAGATAAAAAGAGTTCTATGATACCAAAAGATATGTACGTGTATGTCCCTAGCAGTACTTTCCATTATAGCCCAAACCTGGAAAATCATCGAATTATCCATCAACAGTAGAATGACAAGTGTATTTATACAAGTGTATTCATATAATTTAATGTAATAGACCTATGGGAATTTACTGCTACCCTGAACAGCAAAAGTAAATCTCACAAGCGTAACTTAAGTGAAAGAAGCCAAATCAAAAATTACATATATCATTCCATTCACAAATTTCAAAAACTGGCAAAATTTTTGTATGGCGATGGAAGGCAAATAACAGCTCCTCAGGATATGGCTGGTAATGTTCTGCTCCAAATCTAATTGTGGATACAAGGGTAGGTCACTGTGTGGATACATGGGTGTGTCACTGTGTGAATTCAGGAGTACACACTTGATATGTGAGTTTTTTACTTTGTATTTTATATATGTATATATGTGTGTAATATTATATATATATATATATATTAAGAGACGGGGTCTTGCTCTGTCTCCCAGGCTGTAATGCAGTCCAGAACTCCTAGGCTCAAGGGCTCCTCCTGCCACAGCCTTCTGAGTAGCTGGAGAAGCTGGGACTATAGGCATACACCACCACACCTGGTGGTATATTCAGCTATAAATGAATTGGCTGGGTGCGGTGACTCACACCTGTAGTCCCAGGACTTTGAAAGGCTGAGGCTGGAGATGCTTGAGGCAAAGAGTTCAAGACCAGTCTGGGTGACATAGTGAGACTCCATCTCTAAAAGATTTTTAAAAATAAAATGTACTTAAAATTTAAGAAAGATTTCAGTTGCAAAGGCTAAGTTGAAAAGATAGGAGTAAAAGGGTAATAGACAATTTAGAATATATGGATATATGGCATTTGGTACTTAATATATATTATTGTTTTTTAATTATTTAATAGTCCATGAGTAGGTTAAATTCCATGAAGACAATAACTGCACCTCATTCATCTTTATAGCCTCTGGATGCCCAGTGTACATTATAAAGTAGCTATTCAGAAAATATATATTTAAAAAAATTGTGAATGTTCTGTTTACAGCAAAGTTCTCTAAACTAAATATAGTGATTGAATACATTTCTACAATAAAAAAATTAGACAATAAAGACAAAAGGCATTTCTGGGCTTATATTGGACAAAATAGGAGCAAGAATAGAGGCAAATTACTCTGTTTCTGTTATCTTAGGATGAAAAGAGTTTGCTTCGATTTATCCAAAATCTTTTTTCTCATCCAAATATGAAAATATTATAAGGCAAATTTTCAGCAATAACATTGTATTAGTCCATTTTCATGCTGCTGATAAAATCATATCCAAGACATGACCATTTACCAAAAAAAAAAAAAAAAAAAAAAAAAAAGAGGTTTAATAGATTCACCATTCTACATGGCTGGGGAGGCCTCACTCTCATGGTGGAAGGTGAAAGGCACATCTCACATGGCAGCAAACAAGAGAAGAGAATGAGAACCAAGCAAAAGGGGTTTCCCCTGATAAAACCATCAGATCTTGTGAGACTGATTCACTACCATGAGAACAGTTCGGGGGAAACCACCCTATGATTCAATTATCTCCCACCAGGTCCCTCCCACAACATGAAGAATTATGGAGCTACAATTCAAGGTGAGATTTGGGTGGGGACACAGCTAAACCATATCAGACATATATCTATTGCTACATAACAAACTATGCCCCAAACTTAGGCTTAAAACCACATCCATTTTTTTCTTCACAGTTTCTGAGGCTTAGGGATCTGGAAGTGACTTAGCAGGGGTTCTGACTCAGGGTCTCCCAAGATGTTGGCTGGGCTGCAGTCACCTGAAGGCTTGACTGGGCCTGGAAGGTCCACTCTTCAAAAGGCTCACTCACATGGCTGTGGGCTGCAGGCCTACTCACAACTATCCCCAGAGCAGATCATCCAAGAGTAAGAGCAAAGCCGAAAGACACCATCACTTTCAACCTAGTCTCTGACATCACACACAATCACTTCTACATTCTATTTACCACAAACGAGTCACTAACTCCAGCCCACATTCAGGTGGAGGGGAATTATGTTCCATCTTTTGAAAGAATATTAAATAATCAGTGGATGTATTTTAAATCATCACAGTCCACCATCTGGCCACAAATATTTATATTTCTCCCACATGTAAAAATACTCTCATCCTCTCAACTCCTCCCAAAAGTTTCAAACTTGTACAGGATATCTAGGTTTAGAAGTCCAGGATGTAATTATTTAAATCAGATCCCAATACAGAGAATTCTTCTCAGGTGTAGTTCTTTTTTTTTTGTTTTTTTTTTTTTTTTTTTTTGAGACAGAGTCTCACTCTGTTGCCCAGTCTGGAGTGCAGTGGTGCAATCTCAGCCTCACTTGTAAGCCTTGACCCCTTGACCCCTGGACTCAAGCAATCCTCCTGCTTCAGCCTCCAAGTAGCTGGGATGACAGGCACACACCATAATGCTGGCTAATTTTTGAAAGTTTTTTGTGGTGATGGGTTTCACCGTGTTTCTCAGCTGTTCTCAAAGCTTTTGGGCTCAAGCAATCATCTTGCCTCGGACCTATCAAAATGTTGGATTACAGGGCATAAGCCACCGTGCCTGACCAGGTGTAGTTCTTTAAGAATAGATCTTCAAGTAGAGTTCCTCTCTGTCTAAAGTCTTGTGGACTAAAGAGACAAGTTATCTGCAATGTCTATCAATTATCTATCACTGTGGACTAATTACCCCCAAAACTCTGTGATTTAATAAACAACATTATCTCAGTGTCTGTGGGTCAGGAGTTCAGTGGTTTGCTGTAGAGTCTGACTCAGTGTCATTTCACAACATTGTAATCTATGTGGGAGCAGTAATTGAAGGCCTGATTGGGGCTGAGATCTGCCTCTAAAAATCCCTCACTGCATGGTTGTCGGCTGGTGGCCTCCATTCCTTACCATGTGAGTCTCTCCCTGGATGGCTTAAATCTTCTCACAACACACAGTTGGGTTTCCTCCAGAGAAAATTATCTAAGAGGAAGCCAGCAACATGGAAACCATGATGTCCTTTATGGACCTAACTTTGTGACATGCCATCACCTCTGCTGTGTTCCATGGTTACTTGGAACAATCCTGATATGACACAAATAGAGGACTAGCAAGAGCATCAATCCAGGAATTTAGGGCTCATGGGTGCCATCTTGGAGACAAGCTAGCACACCTGTAATGCTAGAAGCTGAACCCAGGACACCAGCAGAGGCTTAGATTCTGTATGTCTCAAACACTCTTCCTGTGATCTTGATACAGTAACAAAATTCTGGGGACCCTGAAAATGGAAAGAATAAGTTTCAACCAGTGAATGATTAGGTGATGATGGTCACTTGAAGTAACATGAGCCTGGCCGTGCAAATTCCAGCATGTTGTTCTTGGAAAAAAATCACTGCTCTTCTCTAGGCTTGGTTCCTCAGCTTCAAAAAGTGTATAATAATAACTGCTTGGGCTGGGCGCAGGGCTCATGCCTCTAATCCAGCACTTTTGGGAGGCCGAGAAGGGCAGAGCACAAGGTCAGGGAGTTCCAGACCAGCCTGGCCAATATGTGAAACCTGCTCTACTAAAAATACAAAAATTAGCCAGGCGTGATGGCTTGCACCTGTAGTCCAGCTACTCAGGAGGCTGAGGCAAAAGAATCACTTGAACCTGGAGGCAAATTGCCATGAACCAAGATCGTGCCATTGCGCTCCAGCCTGGGCGACAGATGACACTCCATCTCAATAATAATAATAATAATAATAGCTTGCTTTGGTCAGTTCTTACAGGGGTTCAAGGTTACATATGTAAGATACAATATTTAGCAATGATAAATGGTAACTATTTAAAGAAATTGCATATTGGCCGGGCATGGTGTTCATGCCTGTAGTCCCAGCACTTTGGGAGGCTGAGGATGGGCGGATCACAAAGTCAGGAATCGAGACCATCCTAGCTAAGACAGTGAACTCCTATCTCTACTAAAAATACAAAAAATAGCCAGGCGTGGTGGCACACACCTGTAGTCCAGCTGCTTGGGAGGCTGAGGCAGGAGAATGGTGTGAACCCAGGAGGTGACCTTGCAGTGAGCGGAGATTGCACCAGTGCACTCCAGCCTGGGCAACAGATCAAGACTCCATCTCAAAAAAAAAAAAAAAAAAAATGCAAATTTTGTGATATTGCCTGGTAACCATCTGAGTTGATAGACGTATTTCAGTTTTCGGAAAGAAATATTTAAATTAGTAAGAAGTAAACCTTTCTCATTTAATAACTGATATACCATATTTCATAAAACTAAGAAAATAGAAAAACTATCCATTGTCCTACAACTCTAAGCAATATCATCACCGTCTTTCCTTCCAGCTTTCTTTTCCATGCATTTCCCATAACTGAACAGAGGTTACATAAAAGTTTTGCTTTTTGCTTCTTTCTCTTTATATCTTAATATAGAAAACTTCTAACAGGTTGACACGGACATTTGCCCCAGTGTGTCATGCTCAGAGGAATGACTCATAGGTCCTAATGAGAGTAAGCACTGGAAAAGGAGGGGAAATTCCATAGGTCAGGCAAGGCTGCATCAGGATCAGCTGAAGTCTGAAGCAGATCTCACGGAGAAATCAAAGCTAACTAGGGGAAACAGGTAGATCACTAAGAGATTCTGGAAGTTGTCTAGGGATGAAAGTTGCTTAACGACTTCTCTGACTCAGTTCATCTTCTATACATCAAAGATGTTACATGTCCCTACCTTTATAGGGCTGCCGGAGGCTTCATGAAGTTCCTGCCTGTAAAGTTCCAGGCACAAAGTAAAAGATGTTGCTATTAAAATGGTAAGATGTGGCTGGGCGCAGTATAGCTCATGCCTGCAATCTCAGCACTTTGGGAGGCCGAGGCGGGTGGATCACGAGGTCAGGAGTTCAAGATAAGCCTGGCCAAATGGTGAACCTCATCTTACTAAAAAATTAGCCAGCGTGATGCGGGCGCTGCTCGGAGGCTGGGACAGGAGGATTGTTTGAATCCAGGAGCAAGGTTGCAGTGAGATGAGATCGCGCCACTGCACTTCAGGCCTGGGTGATGAGGTGAGACTCCATCTCAAAAAACAAAAAAACAAAAAACAAAACAAGCAAATGGTAAGATGCAATGCTCAGGGTCTGGGATTTCCCAAGTGTTTAGCAGCCTAGAATTCTCAACAGACTTCTGAAACATAATTTATGCCCTAAAATGTTGATGACTAATATCTATGATATAGGAAAGTCTGTCTGGAATATCAAGTCAGTGGGTTTGATCATTCATTTCAACCATTGGAAACAAACCCCAATGTCTCGAGGAGCCAGGTGGGTCACCCTAAGGTTGCAAGGCAGGAGGGGTACCACCTAGAAGCACAAACCCTCCTCAAAAAGAAAGCTGTTCTGGGTCATTGTTGCCCTATGTAAGTGTGGACCAGGTTGCTGTTTGACGTCTACAGAGCATTATCAACATTCATATCAGATTTAATGCACTATGATACCACATAAGCAAGGTGAGACTATAGGGTAGGTTTAGAAATTACACACACACAAGTCTGCTAAAGTTGTTAGGTGAGGATTCCTAGCTCTGGGAGAAAAGGTTACATTTTTTGCCTTATCCCCACTCCCCAGCTATTGGGTTATTTGAATTTATTTAACCTGACTTTGGATAGTCCATTCTCACACTACTAATAAAGACATATCTGAGACTGGGGTAATTTATAAGGAAAGAAGTCTTCATTGACCACAGTTCGTACATGAGCTAGGAGGCCTCAGGAAACTTACAATTAGTGGGAAGGGAAGCAAACATGTCCTTCTCACATGGGTAACAGCAAGAGAAAATGAAGCTGAGAGAAGGGGAAAACCCCTTATAAAATCATCAATCTCGTGAAGACTTCACTATCATGAGAAATAGATGGGGTCAGTCACCCCCATGATTCAATACCTCCTACCAGGTCCCTCCCGACTCACATGGGGATTATGAGAACACAATTCAAGATGACGGATCGGGTCGGGGACAACAGCCAAACCCTATCACCTGTATTTAATTTATATAATAAAATACATTTAAATTTGATAAATTAGGTTAAAAGTACATTGACACATGAAAGTTTCAAGAAATCCGTATACTAGAGCAAAGAAACTCATTTAACTGTATTCACCCCTTGTTCTCACCAGTATTTCATCAAAAGCTTTCTTTCTTTTTTTTTTTTTTTTTTTTTTTTTTTTTTTTTTTTTTTTTTTTTGAGACAGTCTCGCTCTGTCACCCAGGCTGGAGTGCAGGCCAGATCTCAGCTCACTGCAAGCTCCGCCGCCTGGGTTTACACCATTCTCCTGCCTCAGCCTCCCGAGTAGCTGGGACTACAGGCGCCCGCTACCTCGCCTGGCTAGGTGTTTTTTGTATTTTTTAGTAGAGACGGGGTTTCACCGTGTTAACCAGGATGGTCTCGATCTCCTGACCTCGTGATCCGCCTGTCTCGGCCTCCCAAAGTGCTGGGATTACAGGCTTGAGCCACCGCGCCCGGCCTCAAAAGCTTTATTTTCCATATAAAATGTATGAATGCCTTACAGAGCACACTTTGGAAAAGGATGACTGACTTTTAAAAGGAAGACCCAAACAAACCGGTCAACAGAAATGGAGTGCTGCTCTAGTGCCATGCCCGAGACACCTGCCAATAGTCCTCTGCCACTCGCCATCCCTGCATCAGCATCTGGGACATGGTCATTACACTTGACGGCTTGTCACTCCACCTCTCCTCACTCCTCAGCTCACAGAAAAGAGATTTGTGAAATACCAGCTCTGGTCTTGGTAAATATTTGTTTCCCCTGGCACCCTGGAAAATGCATTTTTTAAACTCTTCCTACACTTTCGGTGTGGCAGCAGCTTTATCAGTATGTGAAGACAGAGCGATGATGTGGCTTGGATAC